ATGTACACATATGTCATACATATTACAACACAGAATTCCTTTAACTCAGTTCTATATGTCTCAATGTATTTTGTAGCTTCTGCAACTTCCATTTCATCAACTACACTATGAAGGAGTTCAATATTAGTCAGTGAACATTCATTTTGAATAAGATGCAAGATACCAGAAAGATCAGTACATTGCTCTACTTTTCGTCTAAGAATTGAGCTACAACAAGAAAGGAATTCCTTTATTTCATCCAAAGGAGGAGATTTTCGTTTAATAATCTTGCCAATATTATAAAACATCCTTCCATAAGACATTCTCACTGACGTAAAGCTCATTAGTAAGTCTTTAGGAACAGGAACATGTACTTCAACTGCAAAAATAAAAATCAAATATATTTCATTGGAGAAATTTATATTTGTATTTTGTATAATACACGTAGCTGCAAGAAAAATCCACCCATAGGCCTTCACCAAAAATTAATTAAAAATCACAAGCTATCTTTTACTTATTTAAACATACTGTATAGCTAGAAAATTTTGCAGCCCAAAATTTCTGCTATTTTTATAAATATGGAAAAAAGAAATTTTATTTTTAAAAATTTTGTACATAAAATAATGACCTAATTCATTTAAAAGGCATGGTGAATTCACAAAATAAAATCTGCATGAGTCATTTTGATGGAAATTTGCAAAATTTTGGGCCGCAGAAATTTCTAGCTACATGGTATACAATAATAATTATACCTTGAGGCGATAAAGGTTGGGAAACAGAATTACTTGCATCAGAAGTAGATGTATCTATATGAATATGTGAACAAAAATGCGTTATAATTTATAATAATGAAAGAATCATACCAGATTGAGCAATTTTTGGTATCTTGGTTTCATCAGAACTTGTATCTACAGCATGTACATGTATAATAAAAGTATTATGATTATAATTACTAATTACGTGTATTACTTTGAGAAACAATAGCGTCCTTAAGAGTCTCAGAAACCATACCCACTTTAGGAGTAGGAAAATACTTACCTATAAACAAACAGTTGTCAATAGTTTTAATTAGCAACACAAGACATTAGTGGTCATACTGATATTATCATACTCACTAATATCATCCAGTATAGCTTGTCCTAGTGATACATTAGTACTTATTGTACACAATACATTAGCAAATGTATGTAAACTGCTGGTATTAGTTTGAACAGCTTCTTTGACAACAGTTAATAAAGCCTCACGTTGATTAGGAACAGAGGGATTAGCTGACACTACTCTACTAACTGCTTCTTGTGTTAACATACGTTCAGCATAAAGTAACCAAGCGATACCAACAGAATCACAAAGAGACTGAGACAGGAAAGTATGACGATTGTTAAAAATATTAATAAGAACATGATGCTCTATGATAGAAAATACAATGATATACATGTACAAGGGGTTGTCACTTGCATATAGTCTGTTGTTTCACCTGTGACCAAATCGAAATGAAAATCAAGACATAAAGAGCTCCAAAAGATAGACATTAAGAGATCAAGACTTGCTTTTTAGATACGTATACCTTCGTGTATGGCCATTTTTGCCTAATTGATATTGATAGTCTTAGTAAATTCTTTCATTGACACCTCTATATATTCTCAGTCAAGATGTGGTTGCAGGTGAAACTGAAACAGCAATACAGCAGTTTCAATGCAAGTGACACCCTCTTGTTATAGTTATAATATACATGTAAATACAGTTATGCATGGTTGACTCACTTAGCTTCTCAGCTACAGCAGTTTCATTGATAGATCGTAGAGCATCTGACAGTGAGTCCAAGTTGGCTCCTCCTCTACTGTCAACATTATCAGCTCTACTTAACCATTGGGAGAGACACTCAGTCATACAACGATACACATCACTATGATATTTCATTTCAATAGTATCCAGTGTATTCTTCCTTAGTCCTAGTCTCAGTCCAAGCTGATGCCATTTTGTTTCTGGGAAGCCACATCTCTTTAATAAGTCAAGAACGTCAACAAGATCATCAACTCCTACATAAAACCGACCGAGCAAAAGCATACGTATCAAAATGGTGGATTTGGTGAGGGATTTTGTCATCATCATCAAAGCTTAGCTTATAAGCTTACCTAAACAATTTTGACTAGTGGCCATAGTTCTTTAAGTGTACCATGAGCAGCTCGATGAGTAGTCTTGGCCCCAGGCCAGAGCACTGAGCAGTCAGAAGTCAAACAACTATTGTGGGAGGGAACAAGGGCGGGGTTTTAGACATAGATAGATCTATTAGAGTAATTAATAATACAGTCTAATACAGTAATACAGTAATTATAGATTAAATGAATTCATTTACTTTAATATCTATGTTCTAGATCTAGATTAATGAGTTGCCTGTACTTCAGTAGCTACTTGTCCACCACTCCAAAGACAATTTAATTTTAGAAGCAAAGTCATGCCAAACTTCTGCAGTTGGAGAAATTCCAGCTAAAGAATGAGGTACATAAATCTACTTTGTATGTTTCTGTAATTCTGTGAGTTTAATTTTCACTGTTGAGCTTGGAAAAGAACTAAAGTTCTAAGCATATGTATGTGTACAATGTGCATTACCACTATTGGCTTATTTACAATGTAACATTCAAATTTTATTTAAAAAGTGTAGTTGATTTGACCATTTGATGCATCAATAATGATAGAGTTTAATCAAATTTAGGTGTAGCATCATAATAAACACTTTTAGCTCATAAGTTGTTGAATTTCATTTAGAATTTACAGTTTTATTTCATAGGTTGACAGAAAACCAAAAGAGCCATTTTCGTTCATCTTTCCGTCAGCTGCTATTTGAAACTCCACATAATCCACATTATGCTTAATATATCTCAGGTCCAATAAATGCAGATCTGAAGATCTTGAGGCTGAGGCCAAGGCCAACAACATGGCTAGTTTACGAGATAAGTCCTTCAATGACAAATTATGATTCTGACTCATGTTATTCTTAATGAAAGAGATAACGGACCTGACATTCCAAGTATCCC